GAAAAATTGTTTGCAGAGTTTAAAACCTCTAAGGAAATTACATTGAGATCTATTATTATCTTATTTATTTGTACTGTGTATGAAAAAATTAGGGTAAAAAATGGTGGTTATTGCTGATATTACTTAGTTATCTATTATAAAAATGATTTAGAGGCAATTACTTGTTTTTTGCTCTTGATCTTGTTCTATTTTTAGAATGCTCCAAGGAGTAATGAATAATATAGTGCATGAAGCAACATCTAGATCAATTCTACATTAGCTCAAGGCAGCAAGTCAATATGGTGAGATCTTCAATATATTTTGTTATAAAAATTTCATATTGAATTGTCAAGAATTTGAGTGAGATTGATGACATTCATCTTATTTTTTTATCTTGGTCGCTAAGCTTGCATGTATATATGGTTTTAAGGTATGTAAATAGGTTTAGTGAAGTCTTACTTATGACTAATCTACGGGGGTATTGATACTTGGTAATGTATCAGATCATTTCTAACACATAATTAGTAGTGAATATGACCAATTGCTAGTTAATTAACCGTCTATAGCTGGTTTTCTTATTTTATCTTTTAAAGAATATAATAATATTTTTCAAGAAATTAGTTAATCCTTGTTGAGTTTTTTTGTGGATAGGAATATGATTCCAAAAGTTTCATGGTTGTATTTTCATTTTTCTTAGTACTTCAAAATTTACATAAAAACATGAATCAATAATTTAATATTGGCCGACACATAATCGACAATCACTATGTGCTATAGTTTATATATAATTTGACTTTGCTATTATTTACTGAAATGAATACATATGGCGGGCCTATATCAATATTTAGCTGTTGACAGCATGCATTTAATAACGAATATTATATACATATAATCATATTGGCCGTAATATATATGTATATATTTTATATTAGATTAGGTAGGCAAAACATGAGCAAATATTGATTAGTAGTGTCTTCTACTTTTTGAAATTTCCAACTCATGCTGATATTGAGGCAACTTTCACTCAATCATTTGCCTTTATTATATATTATTAATATACATACACCCACAGACACACATAAATATGTATATAGGGAGTCCATATGATAAAGCTAATTAGCTCTCCAACTTCTTCTTCTTCTTCTTCTTCTTCTTGTAGTGAAGTATCAGTGCTTGATCATATAGTCTGCTAGCTGTTATATAAGCAAACAGTTTTTGGTTTATAAGTATACATATAAAGGGGGGTGTGTTTGTGTGTGTATATATACATATATATATATAGAGAGAGAGAGAGAGATTAAGGAGAAGAGATGGTGATGAGAAACTTGTTGGGTGTTTTTGTAGTTTTGGTGATAGGGAGTGGGTTTAGATTTGGTGCAGAAGCGTTAAACATGAATTACTACATCATGACTTGTCCATTTGCAGAAGCCATTGTCAGGAACACTGTAAACAGAGCTTTGCAGGCTGATCCTACTTTGGCTGCTTCGCTTATTCGAATGCACTTCCATGACTGCTTCATTCAGGTTTCTCTCTCTCCCTCTATCAACAGTAGTATATATATACATATATAGTTGTATATATATAATTCTTGTGCTTATTAATTTAAAAAAGAATTTTTTGAGGGAATAAATTAAATATATAAAATATAAGGTTTTGCTCTATTTGTGAAATTATTTTTAATTTTTAATTTTTAAATTCCTATATGATTATTTATGTTTTTATTTCCAAAAGTATGTAGAAATTCAATAATAGTTTTAAAATAGTTTTAAAATAATTTTAAAATGATCTTACTGCTGTTCTCTTCACTAATATATAATCTAGAAAATAAAACCTGCAGAAACTATTTTCATTTACTAAATAACCTAAATTCCTGAGCTTTAACAAGTTATATTCCATGAGAAATAGAATTTTTTTTTTATTTTGAATTTTTTTTCTGTGTATGTTGATATATATAGAAATTTGAGTTAAATTAATGTTGAATTGGTTGGGAATGTAGGGGTGTGATGAATCA